CATCCAGGAGGAAACTTCCCCACCAGCCTGGGCAGTCAGCTGAAGTGTCTTAAAACCAAAATCTAGCAAAAAATAAAAAGTTTATTAGCTAGTTCCAAGTAGCTTTTGCAGCAAATCAGAATTACACAAAATACTAAGATGACTGCAGCTCAGTAACATTCCTTTCCAGTCTGCTCTATTACCTTCTGGTCCACCCTGTTGCATTTCATGAAATATGTGACCAAATTCATACAAGAAACTGCAAATGTCACTGCAAAACCCACCTCTGATCACAGACCTTGCAGTTAGTAAAATAAGACAGTAACACAGAGATGTGGGCAATCCTGCCATGGGTTTCAGTGCTGGATTTTCTGTTCCTTTCCTGCACACACTCATGGTAGCCCAGATTACAGGCTCCAGGAATGTCTTCTGGATTCCACACAGTTCCTTTCAAGAAGAATCAGCTCCCAGATGCACCTCAAACACTCACAGAACTGATTGATGACACTTAGGAAGTTTGGAAGAAAACTTCCACTAGTGGCTGGTGGTCTTTGCTGTGAAGATCTAGTACCTGGTTAACATGCTCAAATTGAAAGCAAGGGTGTGTGGTGAGACATATTTGAAAGGAAAAGACAGTGAGGAAAGAGCTGAAAACCAGAATAAGAGCACTGAGTCTGAAATCCATTAATTCTGTGGGCAGAATCCATCCAGTTTCAACTCCTGAAATGGCTGCTTCATGGATTATCTGGGTGGAAACACCTTGAACCAAACATGGAATATTTTTTGGTGCCAATTCTCACAGTTTCACTCTGAACACCTACTATTCCACTGAAAACAAGCTAGCAAAATGTATGTTCTTAAGAGTTTACATAGAAAATCTGAAAAAATAACCCCACTTTCCATAATTACTATAAGAGAATTCAGTATTTCTCAACTTGTTCTTAACTTCAAGAAAGTTCTTCACTTTCAGGGGCACAAAAGCTGATTATAATGTTAGAATCAACATGTATTCTGCCTTAAATCACATCACCACTGGAAAAAAAAAACCCAGAAGGCCAAAAATTGAGACTTTAACTACCACAAAGGTTTGCTCTGTAGTTCAGCACACACCAGTCAAGCCATAGTTTACCCCTCTGAGAAGTGTTGTCTTCAGAAATGAGAGAAAGATCTGCTTGGTAGTGAAAATATAATTTTATTTGTAACAATAGCTGCCAGCAGTATACTGGTATATCTGTAAAAGATGTTCCAGAGAGTGAAAGACATAAGCAAACTACAATAAATTGTATCAACTCTTCAAGTATTTCTGCAAACAATGTTCCCATTCTTGATGTCCTGTCTTGGGGAGTCTCAACACCTTAATTCTCCTGCACGATTCTCCCATCCCCCCTTTCCCCCTCCAGAAACAAAATGTTATAGTTGGTGGCACAGGTTCTGAGGCAGATCAAATATATCTTTTTTTTTTTTTCACTTGGGATAAAAAAAGCCTTCTTCTGAAAATATTCAGTGGATGGGTTCAGATAGCACACTCAAGAGTGGCAAAAAAAGAGTTGACTGCACTTAGCCACTTTTTGTTCTCCACTGAGATAGGCATCAGTGGGTTTGGCTCCAGCAGCTTCAATTTATTCATGTCTGTGTTCCTTTGATACAAAATGCTAATTTGCTCCTTTAGCATAAAAATTTGATTAGATCTTTCTTCTTATCAGAGAACTGCATGCAGCTCTCAATCAGTTTAGACATGCCCACTGTGGAAAAAACACCAATTTTATGGGAAAATACAAGTTACAGGGCTGTGAGTGGCTGTGTGGGACAGTCCCACAGGGCAGCAGGGAACTGGGAATGGACAGGAAAGCTCTGGAGTGCATGAAATGGTTTCAAAACTCACATGCCTCTTGTTCAACAGGCAGCTCTTACACATAAGGAACCTCTTCAAGAAGGAAAGCTTTGTTAAGGATTTAAAAAAAATCATCATGCATATAGTATAATCTGTTCTCCCACACAAAAACAGGGTGAAGATGATGGATTTTCTTTTTATGTTCAGGAAATACACAAGTCACCTGTTTTAATGGGAATTTAAGCATATTTTAGCTTGAGAATAAAGTAAGTTATTCAGCATGCTAATACATGCAACCAACTTGCAAACTGGAATGCCTACTTGAAAGGGTAGCTGCTGTTTTTAAATTGTAGAAGGGGCTAGAAGCATCATTTTAAATTTAAACAGGGGGTAGATTAATTGCTGTTTGATGAAATTAAAAATGCATTTAAAGATCAGATTGTAAACAAGTTGACAGAAGTCAAGAATTTACATAGTTATGAAAGGGCTTTTTTTAATTAATGTGGAGCTGGTGATTGGGGCCAGATGAAAGTGCTCTACCCACAGCAGAGGCAAAGCCTTTGACACACCAGCCCAGCTCCTCACTGCTGGGTTGGAGGGATCACCTACTGAGGTGAAAGCTGCTCACTCACCAGCAGATTCCTGAAGGCAGCAAGAGGCTGGCCAGCTTCTGCCACCACCAAACTGTGCAACAGGAAGCCTAAAACTCCTTCCAGCCAGGACAATTAACAGCTCTCCTACAGGAACAGCCTCAGGAATTGCTAACCTGGTCCTCATCTGAATGACACCTACAAGGGAAAGGCTCTGACCTTGTACTGAGATAAGAAATACACCAGTTACAGCAAGAGCTTTAACTTTGCTTACAAGCTTTCAGACACAATCATTAAAATACTTAATGCTGAAGATAATGTATTACAATGGTTTGAAGATTGCCTAAGAAAGCAGAGGGAATATATTACCTCTGAAAGACAACAAGCCTGGTGTTCAACAAGGTGTTTCTGTGCATGGACATGCAGACAATGTGCAGAGGAGAAAACTGCATGGAGGTGTTTTCCTGCCCACCTCTGGAGTCCTGCACTGTGCACACCAGGGCTCATCTGCTTTTAGAAGGAGTGAGGCCCCATCACTGCCACCTCAGACAACCTCCAAGGGCCCTCCTGATCTAAGTCTTGGAGTTAAAACTTCACAAAGCTATGCTCATCACCACCCTGCTCCCTACACTGTTCCTAAAGGGTTAACTACAATGGCAGAGAGCACCAAACCCATGAGGGGTTTGTTGTTTTTTTTACCCTACATGGCATTAAAAATATCATTAACAAAAAAGGAAGCCATTCCTTTTTCTAGCTGTCACTTGGTAGCAAAAACTGAAACCCTACAGAGGATCATGGTGGCTGAGAAACTTTATTCAGGATGAGAAGGTGACATTAAAACACAGTCATTAAAAGGCTACAATTCAGTTTTTCCTAACCAGGTTGCTCTGAAATTTTCTTTCTGTGCCTAAACACCCCTGCAAGAAATAGTAATAGGGTCTAATTTGTATCTATGGTTGTCTTCAAATGACATGTAACAGGATTGCAAACTGCTTTAATATTGGATTTCTAGCTCCAAAAGACAAGGCACCACAAGCCATGTATACAAATATGGATCTTGACCTCTACCTCAAACTAACTTCATGGGTATATGAAGTAGCAAAAGCAGGATGCTTAGAAAAGTCAGGCTGGTTTTCATAAAGCCAGTGCTTACCAAAAAAATTAGTGTATAAAAGTGTTTATGTGAGCATTTCCATGTTATTGCAGAATGTTAAATATTCCAAGAACAACCTACCAGGAATAGCACGTTCCAGCTTCTAAAATCAGTTAAATATAAAAGTATCTTTACAAAAAAATAGGCATATAAGTCTAGCATTCTTTGGAGTCGTTTATGATGGTCTTTTAAAAATAACCTAGCAGTTTATTTCATGCATCAAAACCATTACTTTTAAACAAGAAAACTATTCCCCAGCTTAGAAATATTTGAAAATTGCTATTAAAAAAATTGTAGTGCTATTCCTCAGTGTTGCTGTAAAAAGATTATGTATAGTAGTGCAATGATTATGATGATGCAAAATTGCAGTCCAGGTGCACAGACAAGAAATCAGGATAAATTCAATGTAAAGGACTGGATTTCATGCACCATTTATTTACAAGATCAATTAATAGATTTCCTTCCAAGGAAAAAAAAAAAGCATACTATAATTTAAGGCAAATGTTATCTTTAAAGGTCACTTTAGCTTTCTTCAGGAAAAAAACAGCTTAAAAAAGTTCCCAGAAACTCCCACTTTAACAGCTTGCATGGCTAATCATTGCACTGCTATTCACCAGAACAGGAGCTATTTACCAACGAGGACACTCATGTTTACAGGTACTTTTGTTTATGACAGCACAGGTTTTGTCAGTAAATAACACCAGAAAGAGCTATACAAAATAAAGGCTCTTAACTACCAAAAAACCAAAAAAGCCACTTGCAATTGTTAAGGTGAACAGATGGCAATTCTTCTGGTTTCCTGATGGTAAAGGGCATCCTGACCATTATTCATTTGCTGCAACTCAGAATTTGGGAGAAATCTAGACTGCAAATTTCTTTTTTAAATTGTGTTTCTTGGTTTTTTTAATCTCACCAAGCTCCTGAAGACACAACCAAATACTAACCCTGAACTGGCAGCTTCCTGCTACAGCACTCAAGCCTAGATTCAAACTTCCCTGATATCTGAGGTCATTCAAATCCAAGCTTCACATCTGAGTCCATTCTCAACCACTGCTGTTATTTCAAAAAAAACAAGAGAAATTTTTCTGAAAAACGTTGCCAAATATTCTGCAAATGGCTCTTTTGGATAATAAGTTCCCTTCTCTATGTAAATAGGATAGACATGCAGGTACAGTTCAGTGTGTCACAGATAATGACAATTGTGTCTAGATCTCCTGGAAAAGCAATAAATTCCAAAATACATAAATATTCCTTGTACCATATAGCAAGACAGTATCTGAAACCAATTTGTATCCAGGGCCAAAACCTTTGCAAAGAAAAGTAGCAGGGGCAAGATAACCCTTCATACTGAAGAATCCAGAGTTACCCCAGTGCAACATTAACATAACTGTGTTAATAGTATTCAAACCTGCTGTGAAAGGAGGTAAGGAAAAACAAGCCTATAATTAAGTCTGCAAACTTTAGGTAATTACTGTACCTGGTCTATCCACCATAACTTTGAATAACTGCAAGTTCATGCAAAAAAAAATTGCTATCTTATATGAAAAGAGCAGTCTGTTAGAAGCATTGTTATGGAATATGCAAGAAGTCATCTCTTTTGCAAGTGCTGGTTACTTGGTGAGTCTCTTGGCTACATCACTGTAGGCTATTTCAATTTCTTTGTCTCCAGGACAGGTGTTGGTGAACTCATCCCTGCTGTAAGCATTTGTCAGGTACCTCCAGATCCCTGTCATTTCCTTGGGGATCTCAAAGTTGCGGTATTTTTTGGCCACCACCTGGAACAAAAGAGTAAGAGTGATTTACATCCTTCAACTGGAAGCACTTTTCCATGTCACTCTCTCCTTAAGCTGTCCTTCCAGCACCTACACTCCAAGTGGAACTCCTCAAGTCAGGAGAACCTGCCCCTCTGGGATATGCCTGGGCCTGGCAGCTCCCGCCCGCACCAGGGGAACCCTCCTGTACCCAGGCAGAAACTTAATCTGGGGCTCCATCTGCAGTACAAAACTGACAAAGATCATTGGAGACAGTGCAAAGAAATCAAACCACCACTGTATGGGCACATCTGCACTCCTCTGGTTACCCCAGGCCACCTCTTTCTAGACTGTAGAATTTTTTTTCAGTCCAATCCTTGTATTTCACACTGTCATTTGCTCTGTTGCCAACAGGGGCATTTTCTCCCCAGCTGTGGGAAGACATCCAGCTGGAGCACTAACTGTTCCCATGATGTTCACTTTTCTTCTTCTACCTCGTTCTAGAAGCATTGCAACTTCTTCCTGTGACCACACTGGTCAGTGCAGTGAAATGGGTTTTGGCTTGTGCCATGTTCTCATCTGCCACCCAACCTGTCTACTGGTTGACACTGAATTCAACTGCTCTGTCCCTAAAACCCTTGTGAACTACCCAGTTTAAGAGGGACAGGGATTTACTAGAGAGTCTCCAATGGAGGCCACGAGGGTCTGGAACATGTCTGATGAGGAAAGGCTGAGAGACCTGGGGTTCTTCAGTCTAGAGAAGACTGAGAGGGGATCTTACTATTGAATTATCTGAAGGGTGAGTGGCAAGAAGCAGGGGCCAGTCTATTTTCAGTGCTGCCCCGTGATGGGACATGGGGCAAGGGACACAAACTGGAGCACAGGAAGTTCCACCTCAACAGGAGGAGAAACTTCTTTACTGTGAGGGTAACAGAGCCCTGGAACAGGCTGCCCAGGGAGGCTGGGGAGTCTCCCTCTCTGGAGACTTTCAAGGCCCATCTGGACACATTTCTGTGTGATCTGCCCCAGATGGTCCTGCTCTGGCAGGGGGTTGGACTCTGATCTTCAGAAGCCCCTTCTAACCCCCACCAATTCTATGAAATCTTATGTAATCTCATGTCCTGTTAATACTGTAGTTAAACTTACAGGGGAGCTTACAAATGGTTGAAATTAGCTGGACTCTGGAATGTCACCAACCATCAGCATTGTGTCCTTCATTGTGTCCTCACACACAAGCCCCTCACCTTGACAATGTGCAGCTTGGGGAGCAGGTTGCAGTCTGCTAATGTCATCTCATTGCCATCCAAAAACTTGCGGGTAGAGACCATCACATCCTCCATGCTGTTCTCATCTATCTCATCAGGGAGAGGAGAGTTCAGATACTCATCCAGCTTCTGGAGGGTTTTCAAGAGGCCACGTTCTAAGGCTACAGAGGAAGGAACAGTTTTAAAAACAAAAACCACCAAAAAAAATAATCCCAAACAACAACGAACTGCAGCACAGAAATTTCAGAGTGATTTAACATTTACAACATTGGTACCAGCACCAGATCTAAAAGCAACGCCCACATCACTGCACTACCCACAACAGGCCACAAGGATTTTTAACCCTTGCACTACTTTCTGTGGCAAAACTGCTGCTGGATCTGCCTTTGTGGTCTTTAGTACCACTGAAACTGAACAGGAACCCCTTGAAATACCACACAGGTGCAGGTTATTTAAAAGCTGGTTTATACAGGAGTTTGCACTAATTTAAAATACTCTAAGACCATCCACAAGTGTTTATTTTTGGTTTTAAAAGTGGCTTATGTCAGTTTCTTAAGATTAGCTTAAACTAATTAGAATCAAGCTATGGGAGGGTTTATGTTCATTTAAACATAATCTGTTTAATGTCACACGCTCAGCCCAGAGCCAGGATGGAACACGTGGACTGCCCAGGAGGTGCTTGGAGCAGCAGAGGGCAGCACACCCCACAAAATCACTCCTGTTTCCTCAGCTGTTTACAAATATTTTGCACCTCTCCATTTGAAATGCAGCAGCAAGGCATTCTGCTTCCCCGGGCAACTTTTTCCCTCCAAGTACAATGAAGACAAAATATTTGTACTGAGCTATTTAAAGGTTTAATCGTGGAGTCTTTATGTCTTCTTGAACTCTCATCTTCCATCTACCACACTCACACAGGAAGGTCTTAATCCTTTAAAGGCAGTGACAGAAGCCAGGCTGCACTCAGAATTCTGAATGGGAGCCCCCCAGTCTTAAAAAAAAAAAAGGTCAAATATCAAGTGTACAAAAAGGCCTCACAGCAAATGCACAGAAACTCGAGCACGGACAGAAACTCTGCATGGAATTTGGTTCTGGGTGTTCAAGTAATTTCAAGTAATTTGAAGTGTTTTTTGAGTGGCTGCTGCCCAGAGAAGTTCCAATGCCAGGGATGTTTCCAAGCCATGCATGCCCTACTAAAACTCTCATTAAACACTAACTGAAGCTCTCTTTGCAAGTGCTGGAATCCTTCTCTCTGACCATTAACTTTAAACCCCAGGTTTATCTCATGAGATGCCCCCTTCAGCAGCAGCACCCAGCAAAATCCAGCAGGGAGACACTTCAGAGTGAAGCTGCTCTGGAGAACTTACACGTACACAACTGTCACCCCCAGGTCACCCACCTTCATTAGCTTCTGGTCTAGAATTTTTGATGAATGCAGAAAATTTGGCAAATATATCCATTCCAGCAGTGTTTGATTCTGGATGCTTTGGTGAAAGTTTTAGGTACCTAAAAAGTAGAAAGGAGCAGATCTACAGCACATTTAGCAGAACAATTGGCTTAATCCTGGCTCAAACCAGGACACTCAGCACATATTAACTAGCACAAAATACCCCTTTTTAGGAAAAAAAATCTACATCAGGCATTTACCAATTTATCCATTTTCAGATGAATGGGGAGGACCTGCTACTTAAGTGCAGTATCACAAACTACCACTAAGTTAAGAGTTTTAAATCAAACACTTTAAATCACTTTACAGAGGAACAGCAAAGCACAGTTACCAATTTATCCATTTTCAGATGAATGGGGAAGACTTGCTACTTAAGTGCAGCATCACAAACTACTACTATCACTAAGTTAAGAGTTCTAAATCAAACACTTTTAATCACTTTACAGAGGAGCAGCAAAGCACAGCTCTGCTGTTTGCATCAGGCATTTGCTTCAAGCACAGGGTGTCTGAAACAGCCCAGAACCAGAACAGCAAGGTCCCAAAGTGCTGCCAAGGGAGCAGATCACAGCTCTCTGAACAAAAATATAGTTATAGGGATATACAGAAAAAATATATATATCCCTATATATAAAATATATATTCTATATATTTAAAATTTATATCTATCTATTTTGCTCTTTATTCTATATATATTCTATATATTTTACATAGAGAATATATGGATCAAACAGGTAACAAATTAAATATTCTGCTCCATTCTGTGTTCACTGGAGATCTACTTTTTTCATTTCAATTAATAACAGTTGTCCCAGAATATCATGGTCTATATATATTCTATATATTTTACATAGAGAGAGAATATATGGATCAAACAGGTAATGAATTAAATATTCTGCTCCATTCTGTGGTCACTGGAGATTTACTTTTTTCATTTCAATTAGTAACAGTTGTCCCAGAATATCATGAATTCCAAATCCTTTTAACAAAAAAGTGAAGTCTTGCCACACCAAGACAACATAACAGTTCAGTCTGCTAAAGGCAGGGTCTGCATTATGCCATTTCTTGCCAGCTGAGGGAGAAGAAAGCCAACAGTTTAGAGAAAGCTTGTAATATTTCTCATGCTCGTGTGGTGTAACCTAATTATTTCTAAAGGTATTCTGTATTTTCCTCCATAATTTCCAAATACTAAATTATCAATCTCCAGAGCTCATCATTAGATCTACTACGAAGGGTTTTTTTTAAAACTTATTTCCCATTTGCATGGTTCTGTTCAATCAACTCTCCACCTGCTTACAGAAAGCTGGAAGGAATAGCAAAAATAATTTAACATTAAATACAAAGGTCACTGATATTCCTGGTGAGAAGCAGAAAACAACAAACTCTTGAAGATTTTTAACACCTTACTTCTAGAAGGATGACTGCAAATAGGAATCTCTAGGTCTCCTTTAAAGAGATTCCAACAAGAGTTTATTAGAGTCAGACTCCATTTACATGATTTGGAGACATCACCAGAATGGCCTGTCCCAGTCCTCAAAATGTGAAGTCCTTCAGCTTGAAAACTGCAGAAAGGATGACAGGATTCTAGAAACATCAATTTTAAAATAGCTTTTTAAAGCTACTTTATTCTTCTTTAATGAAAATATTTTTGAATACATCCATGATGGAGCTGGAGGAAGGAAAAGTGTGACAAGCAAGAACTCCAAGCTGTTTTCAGTGCCTAATCTTCAGTTTATTGATGCTGAAAAACACCTTAATTAGTGCAGAAAACCCCTCTGAGAACACCCCATCTCATCTAAGGTGATACATTATAATTTTAACACTTACTTGGGTGGAGCCAAAACATCTTCCAGGAACTCTTCAATCTTATTCACATCGGTTCTCACTTCACCATTGTAAGTTATGAAGGGGGGGTGAGTGCCTGGAGCCAAATTTTGAAGGTCTGCTGGTTTTCTAGAGTGAAATACAAACCAACACCAAAGTAAGCATGGGACACCCATGGCCCTGGCTGTCATTGCTACAAGCACAAAAGCACTGCCTGAGGTTTTCAGGTCCTTGCAGTTTTAAAAATCACCACCAGTTTTCTCTTTAAAAGTGAGTTTACAGGTTGATTAGCATTTTGAATATACACTTGGTAACAATTAATTTCAAATACTTCAAAACCACTGCTTCCTCCAACCTCTGGCTGTGTTTTTTCTCCAGTTGATACAAGGCTGACTGGTGGGAGGGACAGATATACCACACAAACACACTCCCTTTCCCAGCTCTGCAGAGCAGAGTTTATATATAGTGTAATCTGTGATCAGTGATAATCCTCCCCTCCACACAGAGATGCTCTGGAAATAAGCAAGTCTGAGATAGAGCAGCATGTGTAAACCATTTATTATGTGCACACAGAGTCTGGCTCTAAACAAGTTGACAGATGCTTCAACACCATGTTTATAAACAATGCTTGAAGCTTCCTCCAGTGGAAAAACTATTTACAAATAAGAGGAACACAATTGGGCAAAGGGAGAACCCCCAACATGAGTATGACTCCACACAGGAGAAACAGAATCAAGCTAAAATACTCAGACATTTCTAAGTGTTGGGTCACTTTTGGCAATACCTCTTGCTATGCACTCCAGCTCCTTCCAGACTGATCCTTCCCAAGCTAACCCAGACTGTTCTGGAAGGAGTTGGCTTCTCATTCCTCCAGCTGTGCCTCGATGCTGCTGTGACCAGGCAGAATGCTGCAGGCATTTCATTAGAAGCCTGGATGTCAGCTGCACACACCCCCACCTACCCATTCACCCCCAAATGCCTGACTCACACTCCTTCATGGAAGGCTCTCCCACCTGCCTTGCCAGCAGGTTCAGATGCAAAGCTGAAGTCAGTAACGAGATGTGGATTCATTACAAGCTACAAAATCCAAAACATCATCCAAAAAGCTGCAGCCAATTTTTCCCCAGTCAATCACCACGGGGTGAGTTGGTCCCACACTTGTGCAACTGCCTCAGCACCAGCAGAAATGAAACGACAGCCCTGGCTGGCACCTCAGCAGCAGCACTTCAACCCTCCCTCTGATGAAGCTCTTGACTTCAGTCCAGGATGACTGCTCAGAAGGACAGTCTGACTGACCTGTTGAAGAACCTCTCCACACTTTGTAGGACAGTCTGCAATTCCTGCCTCCTCAGACCACCCCTGGGGTACCACCCCACAGCACCCACCACCCAGAGGAGCCAGGACCTACCACAACATTTCTGTCATGCTGACCAGAGGACACACTCAGGATGACCACCACCTTTTGCTAGAGTTGTGCTGGATGAGGAACAACAAACAATACCTGATCCAGCAGAAAGTCTGCCAAGATAAAGCTGCCCCTCTGGTACTGTTTGTACAGACCCAAACCAGACCCTAACCCTTGAACTGGGTTTGTGCTTTGTACGACATGGCCACATTGCTGACCCAGTACCAGTAATCCAGGGACTAACTGGATTTACTGGATACCAGACCTATGTTTCAAGAAAGCCGCCTGACTGTACTGGACAGGGAAACCAGGTTAATAATATACACAAAGATGGTCAGTCAGGGCATGAGAAAGCAGGGTTTGCAGGGATAGCACTTGGACTCTGAACGAAGCAGAGTCTCCAGGTTTGTCCTGTTGCTTTCCATTTCTTACAGAATGCAGAACCCCTGCCAGCATTTCCAGCCCTGCCCAAAGCTGAACCTTTCAAGGCAGGGCAGGCAGCAACATTCCGTGGTGTCCAGGAGTACTTGTGACAGGTATGAGCTCTTGGCAGTCTGTGTAAAACTGCATGAGAACTGATTTCCATACTTAAGAAGATCACCCCCCCTGCTTTCAGCCAGCTGACAGAGCTTGTTAACACAAGAATTTAACCATTTTCAATTTCTAAGCTTCCAAGAAGTTATTTCTCACTAACAGCTGCCATCACCTTCTTACTTTTAGGATTTAGAGTCTGTCATCAGTTAATTCTTTAAGTAGTTTAACACTTCATTTAAATACAGCTTTGTAACCCACAACAATTACAGGAAGCCATTGTGGCTCACTTCCAGTTTCACATGTTGGCTAGATAAAATTCCTCAAAAGGAATGTTATTTTAAAAACAAACACAGGCAAGACCACCGGATCTGCAGCAACACTATCAAAGGCAAGATTTTTATTTCACAAACAGACTAGTCTAATGAACTAACCAAAAAGAGTTTTCCAAAGAATCAGAGTGCATCTCAAGGATCCCAGAGCAGTTTAATAACCCCCTTTGCCACTCCAGTCAGACCACCTGTATCTTTCAAGAAAAAGAAAGTAGAGATTAACATCCCACAGCCAAAGCCCAAACATAATACAGGGTTTGACTTCCAGTTTGCTACTCTTGCCAGTAGATCATAAACAAACCCTGGTTTACCACAAACAAGCCACAGCCTTTGGAGCACCTCGGGTACACGTGAGTATCCTTAAAAGGTTGAGAGTGCAGCTTCCCTTGTTAGTCAAGCAAGGAGGCAATTAAAAATATTATAGTGATGTTTAATTCTGAGACAAAGCTGGACAGCTTTTTTTAATTATTTTTTTTAAATAAAAATAAAGACCTTCTGTAACCATTCCAACTAGTTCCATGATAGCTAGTACCTGCCCTGTAGATCACTGAGGTATTTGAAGGTAGGAACACACACTTTAGTATGTGGCCATCACCAGCTAATTCAGCAGGCAGGCTCTTTAACACCACAGTTAAGGTATAAACATTTCACAGCTTTTCCACAAACCAGAAGAGTAATTAACATGCAAATAATTTCCTGAAGCTCTGACAAAAGCCAGCCCCCAAATGGAACATACTCTACAGTGATTTATTAATTACACAAGTAGTTGTAATGAGGGTCTGAAGAGTAACAAGAGGGGGGAAAAAAGGACCTGCCTCCAGTTCCTAAGCAGTATTTTTACACTGCTGAAGTTGCATTCAACTCTGGGCAGTCTTTAATATTTACTAATCTCTTTATTTAATCTTTGTCTGTCAACATAATTGTAAAACCACACAATCAAGATGTTTAAAATAGGATTTCAGAACTCAACAAACACAAGCTGGACGTGAATGTTGTTACAAGCCCAACAAATGGTTTACGTCCTGCGACTCTGCTCGCCAGAACAAGTCACATCTCTGAGCACTCCAGTGCTGCTTCTGAAAAGGGAAAGAATAAAGCCTCTGTCTGACTAACCAGAAGAAACACATGGTTTCTTTGAAAGGGTGGCACGTCCCACTTCGTTTGCCTATCTGCATATTTTTGTGTCTTAAGAGTAGAGCTGAGAACAGCAAAATGTTCTTTGTTAGCACAGCGTGATGTCCGACGCAACCACCGAAGGGAAAAATACACACCAGAGTCCACCAAGTCAGATTCAGTTTTTCCTGTGTCCCAAGTTACTTACTTGTGAACTTTTGTACCCAACCATGACCTTTTAAGCCTCACAAACAGGACAGAGCTTGCCTTACTGTTGTGCAGAAATTATGCTGTGAGGCACAAGAGTGGCTTCCAAGTTAACTCTTCCTTTTTTGGCTGGCAAAATGAATGAAACCATTACTGAATTCAATATATTATTGAATAATGTACTTACAAAAGCAGGTTTTTGGTGACACTAGAAGCATTAAGACAAAGTGTAGCACCTATTATCATTCAGTAATGCTACTAGGGGGAAAAACCAGCATCTGGTACCAAACATTTCCACTCAAGCAGCTGGCTGAACTTGACATTCTGCAAGCTGCAACTACCTATTAGACAATTTAGAATGTTAAATTTGTATTTATGAAGTTTTACTTCAAGTCTGAAAGGAATTAAGTTTGCATCAACATTTATTCAAACCTCAATTAGCTTCAATGGTGCCTCTTCTCCTTTACCAGAACATACATTCTGTGCACAAGAAAAAAGCAGAGTTAATTTGAACTATTCCTGTGCAGTTTTTTTTAAATGTTGCCCTTATTCAAAAAAACAATGAAAGAAAGCTTTCCTTGTCTAAGGAAGGACAATTTTAAACATCTGCAAGCAATTTATATTCTAAAAGTTAGTTTTACATCCCATTCCCCCATCCAGTTAACTCAGAGTTGCCAAAGGGACACAAAGCAAATTCACCAGGAGCCTTTGGCATTTTAATGATATCATACATTCTGTGCACAAGAAAAAAGCAGAGTTAATTTGAACTATTCCTGTGCAGTTTTTTTTAAATGTTGCCCTTATTCTATATTTTCCTCTTCCCAACATAAAAAAAAACAATGAAAGAAAGCTTTCCTTGTCTAAGGAAGGACAATTTTAAACATCTGCAAGCAATTTATATTCTAAAAGTTAGTTTTACATCCCATTCCCCCATCCAGTTAACTCAGAGTTGCCAAAGGGACACAAAGCAAATTCACCAGGAGCCTTTGGCATTTTAATGATATTTCTCAGACTGGTTCAGCAGTAAAAATGCTTCAGAGTATAAAATGTGTCTTTTAACCTTCTTCTCACCAATCCCCACCCAATAACTGTAACCATCATTAAAAGTAAAGGAAGTCCAGAACTACAACCAGTACCCAAGCACAAGGTCTGCTCCTGGGGTTTCCACAAGCCACAGGCAGTGCTAAATGGCAGGCACGATCTATTGGGTTGCTCTGTGCTGGCAGCAACAATTATACTTGCAGTAAAATCCCACACTGGCCAAAGAGCATCTTTGAGCTGCTAAAATGCACACCCAGTTGACAAAAGCTGCTTTCTCCCCCTCTGACTGGTCTGCCTCAGCCTCACTACACATGGAAATATTTAACACCAGTTGCCAGCACTGGAGCAGCAACTTCAGTGATTTTTGAAAAAGTAAAACAAGTCACCTCCTTCAAAAAACTGACAAGAGGTTAAGCCTAGCAGGGTGATTTCTTTCTTACACATTTTACATTTGATTCATTGGAGAACACTGTATATTTCTATTGGCTTTATTTCTGAAAATAAGGTCTGTAAGCACTGGCAGCCTCTCCTCCCTCCAGAGAGCTCAAGCCTAACATCACATTAGCCCTGAGAAAACATGACTTCACTCCAAAAACAAATAGGAGGCCTCTGCTGAATTTAGCTTTACCACTTCTAATAAAAGTACACCCAGCCTTAGGAAATTAAGACTTGTGGATTCACATCTCACCCTTCATAGCCACCAAGGTATTCATTAGCTGCAGTTCAGGTGACACAAAGCATCATGGCATAACTGGCTAACACTGTACAGAGACAGAGTATTTTACATTTTGTTCCTACCCATTTCACTTCTATTTCACTTGTATTTACCTCATGGGTATTTTCACTGTTTTTATTCTTATTGCATAATAAGCAGTTTTATCTTAAAACCTTCAAAAAGAGGAGGAGGCTGCACGTGACTTGTGACAGTTACCCAGTGATCATGGATGATTTGATCAAAGACTGGTTGATTAAAAATACCCACCCAGCAGTGAGAGATCCCAGTATGAAGTTACTAAGATTCAGCTATAAAAGACTTCAAATCAAGAACTAGTTTTACAGAAGAGCATAATTTAACAAATTCAAGAGAATTTATCTGGCCAATTCTTTTGGTTACAGATACTTATTATAACCATCAGTGAATGCACCATTTACATCAAGTTTTTCTCTAAGTATTTATGGAGACAGATTTTTATTTTAATTTTAGAAAATAAACCATGCAAGATGTAGAAGCCCCAGACAAATCTCAGTTACACCAAGTGTACAGTGCCCTTGCTTGATTGATAAACCAAGTATTTCTTACCTCTTCAGGTCAACTGTTGTGACACTAAACACCACTCCCTTCAGCCAAAGAATCATGAACAGCCTCTGAGAAAAAGGACAGTTTCCTATGCTTTCACCATCACTGCCAGCCTGCAGAAGAGAACAGAACATTCATCAGAAGACAAGACTGTGCCATCTTACAGTCAGTCAAACCTAGTATCATCTCACAGGAACATTCCTTTGCTCTCGAAGTCCAGTTGACACACCTAGACCAGAGATCCTGAAGGTATCTCCAAATGATGCACACAGATGAGTATCCTCAGAATATTTAAATACACTTAAACCACCCAAGGACTTCTGCATCTTTTTTTTTAATACTTGCACCTTCCAACTATTTATTTCCTTCAGACATAATGAGGATTTTATTACAGTGAAATTCACACACTTATGAAGCCAACCAACCAATTTACTTACCATGTCCTCTAACAGCTGCTCACAAAATGTATCAAAACAAGATTTCAGACAACAAAACAAGTTATCTTTCACACTGAAGATGAGCTCTTAACAGTCTCAGAAGGACAGTTAATCATATTTGTCTGAGCAGCCACACCTTTGGAGAGCAATTTTCCAATGTCAGGATTGTTCTTTAGTACTCTTTTTCCTCCTTCTACAGGGCATAGCTAATTAATTGCAGTCATCTTCCAGCTTATTGCTTATCTATCACTGTGTGGTGCTCCAGCAAGGCAACTGCAACCAGGAACTATAACTCTTTACTATACTGCAGGTGTTGAATGGAAAGACATAACTAAGTAAATAGAGACTTCACTGACAATAAAGTAACATTCCAAAGCCACTTTTTATAGGCAATTTATCAATGAGTCTTTGTCCTACCACAACAAAGGTCCATTCCATAGCAACAGGAAGCCACCCCAGGGCACCCAGGGATGCCATGCATCCCATGAGTGCTCTGACAATGAAGTATGGGTTGCTGAGTTGGGAAATGTGAGCTTTTAGTGGGCTGGAATTAGACACATGAAACCTTGAAACTTGTTATAAAAGTTGAATCCACTGAAAATCAAATCAGTTCAGTAGTTACAACAGCAAGGTATGTCAGATATCTTGACAAGTCCTTTACATTCAATGAGTTTCAATTGATTATTATTCTTAGAGTACTTCCAAGAATTCTTGAATCAGCACAATTTTCAAAGCTTGGCTAATTTTTTCATCATTACTATTACATGTTCCCCAGACCATTTTAAAACATATTGTAGGATATGCTGCCTGTACCCCCCAGAGAAAGGACAAAACCCAATTATGGTCACTAAGCACAGACATTCAGCAGCTGAGCTGCACAAGAGGAAGGGTTGAACACGAGGCCTGAGTCTTGACTGGTGGAGATCCAGGGTTTTAAAAAAAGAGAGGGCTGAGAGGGGCTGGGAAAGAGGGAAGAAAAGAAAAGCCAACAAAAAGTATCATCACAAGGTAACAACTTCAGGGCTAGAACTAGCTAGAGAAAGGTTTAGACAGTCAGGCACAGAACTGCTTTTTCTTCAGTTCTCTGCCCGTTCCCACCAGGCACTGAGTGGGGGCCCTGGTGGGGAGAATGAAGAAAGACTCTGCAAGTTAAGAGGAGTAACAGCAGGATTTCTGAACAGCAGGGTTTTCAAAGATCAGGAAAACAGAGATTTTCAGTGAAACTGTTTTAAATTCAGAAAGTTACTTTATTTTTTTTTAAACTCATGGTGCCTTCACAAACAAGGCTGAGACTCCTTGAACAGCTGTCAATATGGGCACGAGGATTCCTAAACTGATTTATGTTGCCTCAAACTTGCCTCATTTCTACAAGTACCTCTGCTGTCAGAGCTAACTGCCCCTCTGAATACTTCACTGTGGAGAATATCTAGAGCTATTTCTCTTCAAACCTTTATTAAATGTCATCAATGAAGATTTGAAAGATAAAAGAAGTTGTCTTTCTGCCACAAATTACAAATTGCCTCCCTTATCTCTGGAAAGTACAGTAAAACTTGGAGCAGATGGATGATACTAGATTGTCTTATATGGCAGCTGACTTGCCCATGTTCAGGAGACTAACTTCTAAAAGCATCTACAAAAAGCACAGAACAGTTTGGCTACTCAGGGTGTTCTGCTCAATCCACAGTTTTCTAAGTGTGTGTAACTGCTCCAAGGATTCCAGCACCTCCATGGATTGGTGTGTTCCCCCCTCACAAGAGGCTTGTCTGAAGCCAGACTTCACCCCACAATTCATTTCCAATACCTGTATGCTTTTATAGCTGTTAATGTTTAACCACCATGCCATCCTCCAGATAGCAGTGTACTTTTCAGACTATTTCACCACAGTTACATTGCTGTGTATACACTGGAACAGACATTTCCTGCAGGTTAATGATGCTAATGTAGATTTATACCCATCTACCTTTATATTTTCTGCATGACAGATCTTATCTACCTTTGAAAAAACGATACTGAGAATTTCAACACTTGATCCCATCTAAGGAAAACACACTTTTTGTACTGCCCAGGCTAATTCACACTTTGAAGCAGAAACAATTCTTTGATTTGGAACTGATCTCAGTCTTCCCAGTCTCATGGCAACTACAATAATGTTACTTAAACCAAAGCAGGAGTTATGCTGCAGCACAGGCCTGCATCCTCCTCCAAACAAGCTTTACAGGAGCCAGGACCCAGTCAGGATTAGTTCTCCTCCATCTTCATCTTTTATTTAGCACTTCTGACCTCAAAACCAGAGACCAGAGCTGGTGCAGTATAACATACATTGCCAGAGATCTCGTCTACTGTGGACTAAGGAACCTTTTGAACAGAAAACAATAAAGCCATGTAACTAAAGGAAGAATCACTAGGATGCAAATGCCAAGCACCTACAGCCCCTCAGCACCAGCTGAAGCCCAGAGGATTAGCAAGAGCAACAAATGGAACTGAGGCATTTCCTGGTAAGTTAAGTAATTCTCTGGTAAATTCCCCTAATTTCAAACCAATATTTGAAAATGCATGAACAGTGTCCTAACAGACAAGAGGTAAACATCTAGAAGACAACTAGTTTTTATGAGTCACATCTTGTTAATTTCTGATCTGCAAAATGAGACTTTAAAAAGCTCAATGCAGAGGGCTGATTAAGAGCAGGAGTTAGTTATAACATCAAACAAGTCTTTGGCTGCCCAGGTTTTGCTGCCCTGTCAATGGTGACAGTGAAATGCAGTGACCCTCCATCAGCAAAAATAAAGTTCCAAGGGCACAGGAAGAAAAATTAATGTTAATGAAAGAAATGGTAAACATATTTTTATCACCCAGACTTTGGAATTTATCAGCAGTAACAGCAATACAGTTCAAAAGGAAGCTATAAGATTAGATTAAAATTTCTTATCATATAATTCCACCATGGAGCTTTATTATTTCTAGTGAAAGATTTTAAAATTGCAACTGAAATAAACCAAACTCAAATTCAGAAGGCAGTTGTGTTTACTGTACAATAAATGAAACCTTAGCATGTCTGGAACTTGAAGCAAAGCTCCTTTTTTTAAGTCACAGAACTGAACAAAAAAGTTGCTCAAAATGTAAGGCACAGCACAGAACTCTGGTCTTCATCAAGGTCCATTTTCCTAAGTCAAAACCAACACCAAAATCAAAGTAGCCAATGAGGACCAAAAAAGGTCACCTACACTGTAATGCCAACTTGTACCAAAACTTTTCTTCTCTCCCAACACAAGGGTAACATTCAAAATACACAATCAACAGATACATCTGCTTTTGGTCAAGCAGGACAGGCTTGTTGGATTATCTGAATCAGAAAAAAAATATTATAGCCTGAATAAAACCTAATGTCTTTTCAGAGCACAGACTTTCATGGCTACATTCAAACGTGTGTCCCACTTCTGCTCCAAAAAGTCCCAAGTTATTCTGAGCACATGCTGGAAAAGGAATGCAGCTGGAATGCCAAGAAACTTTTGGCTTCAGTGCTCTTGAGCCAAGGAATTCTGCTCTGTAACTGTCTGCCTGAGAGGCCCATTTTCTATCTTCTTCTATTTGATGCAGTGAGAGCCACAGCACAGACCTGTCATCAAGAGCAACACCATGACTGGGCTGCCACACACAACCCTCCTTCAATCACAGGATTTGTTTTTCATAGGAGGCAAGTTTGGTAGATGTTTCTGCAAGAATCAGTTCTGACTTTGATTCTCTCCACTGGAATAGGGCTATGCTGGCAGTATAACTATAGAATCATAGAATGGTGAAGGTTGGAAGGGACCTTAAAGATCATCAGGTCCCAACCTCCCTGCCATGAGCAGGGACACCTCTCACCAGCCCAGGCTGCGCAAGCCTCATCCAACCTGCCCTTGAACACCTCCAGGGATGGGGCAGCCACAGCTTTCCTGGGCAATCTGTTCCAGCACTTTACTACCCTCCTAGGGAAGAATTTCTTCCTGACGTCTAAACTAAATCTCCTCCCTTTCAGTTTAAAACCATCACCCCTTGTCCTGTCCCTGCTCTCTCTGGTGAAAAGTCCCTCCCCAGGTTTCCTGGAGCCCCTTCAAGCACTGGAAGGTGCTCTAAGGTCTCCCTGGAGCCTTTGCAAGAGTATTCTCAAATTCTACACGACTAGTCATGTAGGGGGTTAATCACAGGACAATTGCTGCTTAAGCCCAGTATTAGAAGCCAGAAATCTGTCATTGCCTTGTCTTTGAATTCAGGCCATAATATTCCAGGATATCTTCAGTGTCTAATCCTCATCAGCATCAGAATAAAGAAAACATTGAATGGTGATTTCTCTATACTAACATCAGCCTAGCTTCTTTGTTAATTTACTTGGATTATACTCATTCTATACCAAGAAGCTTTGAGTTCTTATTTCAAATTCTTTCTAAAACCAGTCTAAGAATCATTATTACTGTATAATGCCAGAGTTCATTAGGGCCAGTTTTCAGTTAGCTCTACCAAACCAAGCTAACATTACCCACTGAAGGACACATATCCCAGGACACCATTGATGCTTCACTTAAATGGATTAGGACCAGACAGAAAAAAAGTGCACCACTACACACAGCAAGGAAACATGGTATTTTTCACTTGTCAGTGAGTATTTTCCTGAAGGATTATACTGATTTGAGAACTCGATCTGAAGAGCCTGGCTTTAATTT